TCTCTTCCTACAGGTTGCCGTGTCGGTTTTTTTCTATTTTCGGGCGACAGGTACCAAAGGTAATTGGATCTCATCGATGCACGTGGGTGGATAGTAAGATGCGTTACGTATAGCAGCGATAGTATTATATGATTTGGGTCTGCGCATGCCGCACGAAGGCGTGTAGAGTACGACATATGTCGTCCAAACTGTTTTGAGAGAGATGGAGAGAGGAGGGTGTGTGAGAGATACCAAAAAAGAGCAAGAACGAAAGAGAGAGCGCGCGCACGCAAACGAGAATGAGAGAGAAAGAGAGAGAGAGCAGAGAAAGAGAGAGAGAGAGAGAGAGAGAGAGAGAGAGAGAAGAGAAGAGAGTGAGAGCGAGAGCGAGAGACAGAGAGGGAAAGGGAGAGAAAGAGCGCGAGCGAGAGAGCGAGAGAAAGTGAGGGCAAGCGAGAGGTAAAGAGAGCGAGGGGAGGTGGAATGCGCATGTACTTTGCAACTACAATGACCAGCTCATGGAAGTTAATAGATAAATGTTCTCAACGCGAAAAAAATCAGTCGCAAACCAGTGGACAAACGCAACCGTATTATTGCGAACATTGTTCAATAGATTCACGTAGAAACGCGACTCATACTAACTGTCTATTCTGTATTATACATAATAATTTATATTATGTTGTATTTATTTGATCTCGGTATATTACAAGTTATGTTGTCACTTCGATCTACATACTCACTACGAAACAGGCACTTCACAGTTCTTTGCTTCTCTCGACCGCTGCTCCAAATCCTGCGGACGCTTTCCGTTTGCTACCGATGCTTAACAAGGCAAAATGTCAGTTACGAGTGCGAGTGAGCGGTTACGCATCCGACTCTCTTGAGGCACCGTGCATTATTGAGAACTACCAGGACACCATCGCAAGCACGTTGCCGGGTTTCCTTCACAATGCAGAAGTCACGTGATATCTCGGTAACCGCTATGTGATATTGACTGGGGGAGCTTCACGCATTTAAAGTTTTTCCGTCCCATTGTTCGCAGGCCTGAATTATTAACGAGGTGTGCATCCGTCTGGTAATAATATTGCCAGTAACTAGCCTATTGCATCAATGCCGCCAGAAGAGTCTAGAAAGATACAGTATATGAACATTAGCGCACATGCATGAACAGCGGGCTGTCACAGTTGATAGATGTGTAGCGGGGGAGAGGGGCGTGGAAAGAAAGAATCCAACAGTAATATTTGCATACACTTCAACAGAATACATAACTAACAAAAAACGACTTTTTATTACGTGTCTAATAGAAATCATTAATACGGAGCTGTGTAACGTGCTGCTCAATATACCTCACCTTTAATAACAAATAATCTATCACCATGATTAAATACACATGACTTCGTAGAAATGTGTAGCTGGTAGACGTTATAAACGCACTCTATTGTCAGTAAAATCTTGACTGTTTTTAACGATCATGACAACAGCATTGTAAAAATATACGTTCTTCGTTTCTCAATCAGTAGCTCATCGAAATGTTATATATAACTTATCGCTAGCAACTCATCGAATCATGCTAAATTTCAAACAATCAATAAATTAGGAAATGCACATCATTGACACCTTTTCGGGGTTCATCCCTGGATCACAGGGCAGTTTAATATAAATGACTGCTACTATTTGGCATAAACTCCTCCTCTCCTATTTGCAGAGTTTTAATTATATCCAGCCCTGCAAATTTCGGTTTTCGTTCAGCACACTCGCGGAATCCCCTGCACATCAAGTTCACGTGAATTCAATCTTAATTTGGTAGTTGATCATCCTTGTTCTAGCTATTATTCTAGCTATATTGTTCGTAAACACTTATCAATGGTAGTTGAATGCATGGCAACTTGCACGGTATGATATGTTATCCACTAGTACACACACAAAGTTCACATCTGGCAGAACAAACCACTTACAGCATCCACCCTCCCCTGAAGGCAGGTTTCTGTACATACACACAGACGTATGCACGCACCCTCGTACACATGCAAGTACGCACGCGCACGCACACACGTGCACATTCACGCACGCATGGAGAACGCAAACCTCTGCACATGCAGACATGCATGCATACACACACACACTTGCTTTTACGCTAACACACAAACACGGACACCAACAACAACATCATCCCACCTCCAAGTGACAGTGTATATATTATAACATTAAAGTTCTCCACTCTCCCACTGTAAAGGCACTTCTGTATATACTCAGTGTTCTGATAACTGGGCCCACGGAGGAGAGCGGTCAACATACCAAAATTAATTTGCTCTTAATTGTCCGCATTAATGTAAGTAAAATATCTCAGCCCTTCATTATACGGCAACATAAGATAACCATATACTATTAAAACGAAGAATACATTTTGTTCACGGACACAACGTCATCTACAAACACTGAACATCAAGCTGCCAATTATTTCTGAAATAATCAAAGAACATAAATATACACCCTCACCATTGTGGAACGAAATAAGAAGTAGTAATAAGGGAATGTTTATAGGTGTGGTACTCAGGGCCAGGAATAACAAGAACAGGTCTGTCACCACGTTAATACACCGTTTATCCGCTCTTGCACAAGTTCTCTGGGTTCTTGGAGTCGGAAGGCCAAAACTTCTGCTGTAGCCTCTGCCTCAGCTTAAGTTGCAGCACCTGAGTCGTTGTCAAGATGTTACCGATTGCAAGGATGAAGAAGATGCAAGCTGTTACAGGTACCTGCAACAACATGGCTTCATTAGCAAAAATGCTACCTATTTTTTTTTTTTTCTTCTTCTTCTTCTTCTTTTTATTATTATTATCATCATCATCATAATAAATGAGGTTGTTTCCACATATGAATGCTCAAAATCACCAGTTTGTTGCACATACCTGCCAGTCGGCTGCAGGGTGGTAGCTCAGCTGGTACAGTGTGTATGCATTGTAAAGCTGGAAGAACTGAAACACGAGTGAAAATACCACTGTTAGATTGCATTTGAGAATGCTGATTTGACTAGAACATGTAGTTAGATCTAGTAGATTAAATCTGGTCTGTTACGCCCCTTATTATATTAAAAAATATTAGTTGGTTAATTAAAATGTCAAGCTGGGTATGCTAGGGTGAACTAAAGTAAAACTAGAAAGGGCAGTTGTCGCCAACTACATGTATCCCCCATAATCTAGTATGAATGAAATATCTCTGTAAGGACGTAGAAGGTAGGTAAAGTTAAATAAGTCACAAAGACAAAGGTTTGTTACACCTGAGATGTGCAAGTATGTTAAAATTGGTTGCCTTAGGGGTTTTGGTACGCGACACACCTTCTCCCCAAGATGTGTAAGTATACAAAGTTTGCTCGTGCTAGGTTAATTAGGGGCCGAGTTATAGAGCGGAAGGGAAATATGATCAAAGTCAAGTTCAAGGTCAAATAAAAGCCGCAGTGACGTGGCTTCGGTACGCGACACACCTTCTCCCCAAGATGTGTATGTATACCAAGTTTGGTAGCGCTAGGTCAATTAAGGGCCGAGTTATAGAGCGGAAGGAAAATATGATCAATGTCAAGGTCAAATTAAGGTCGCAGTGACCTGGTTTTGGTACGCGACATCCCTTCTCCCCAAGATGTGCAAGTATACCAAGTTTGGTAGCACTAGGTCAATTAGGGGCCGAGTTATAGAGCAGAAGGGAAATATGATCAAGGTTCAGGTAAAGGTCAAATAAAGGTCGTAGTGACCTGGTTTTGGTATGCTTGCGCACCTTCTCCCCAAGATGTGTAAGTATACCAAGTTTGGTCATGCTAGGTCAAGTAAGGGTCGAGTTATAGAGCGGAAAGGAAAGTGTCTGCGGCGGCTGGACAGACATATATATATATATAGTATCCCCGCCGACTTCATCGCGGGGGATACCTTGTAATGTATCCATGTAATCCATGTATCCATGTAATGTAATGATGACATTGATGATAGTAATAGTGATGATGATGATGATGATGATGATGATGATGATGATGGTGATGATGATGATGATGATGATGATGATGATGATGATGGTGATGATGATGATGATGATGATAAAGATAATGATGATAACAATGATAGTGCTTATGATGATGATGACGACTATGAATTAACTTTCCACAGCCGAACTGGGGATTTGGCAGAAATTCCACTGTGATCACTGCATAATAAATAAAATATTTCTAAAGTCAATAATCCTAAAGCATGAATGAGTTTGTTGGCGCCAATTATAAATCACATGTTACACCGACGCAAAATATCGCCCATAGTAACGTGCGTGCAAAATAAACACACGAAAACAGCAACACGTGCTATCGCCCTCCCACTGCTTTATTGATACCTGTGTCAACTCCATTGACAACGCACTTGAAAGGATTAGCGAGAGAATTATTGATAACACTGTGCCACGCTGCCATGCGTGCCTGACACATGCAGCAGAGAAAAACAGTATTCAACCTCCCAGTGAACAGCACAGCTGCATAGATAGTAACCAATCCTGTGGCTCCACCTGTCGTTATTTGCGCACATGGAATGGTCGATTGCAGTCTTTTAACAAAATTGGTTGGGAGGTGAACTAACACATCTGTCTCGAAAGTATAGCTCGATAACGATTACTCACGTAGCCAAAGAACAGGAAGGGAAGCAAGAAGCCGAGACCTCGCCACATCCACACGTGAAAGCCATCTGGAGACAAGTGACAAAAAATGACGTAGAACATATCTTCTAGTGAAGAAGCCAAACCGGCATCATTAACGCGCAATCTCAATGTTTCTCAATTAGGAAACCTAGAAACTATCGTTTGTAGTGAGCTGTTGGAGAGGTCGACTGTAATGATTGAGATGCAGAAATCATTCACCGATTCCCGACGACATATAGTTGTGCAACACGACACATTATATTGTCGTACGTGTCATGGTCCAGTGTTTTCATTCTGCTATAATAGTGGTGTTGTAGATGTGCCCGTTAAGAATCCGACAGTGATGTACAGTGCTTACCAACAGTAACGTCCATGTTGTGTCGCTCTCCCAATGCTCGTAGCCTATACAGACAACCTTTCTGGTATCGGTACTGACAGAGCTGAACTATCGCTGAAACAGAAGAAGTAGAAAATTTAAATCATTAATTCATTATCATCATTAATTATTGTATGTATTAATATAATTATATATATATATATATATATATATATATATCAGATAGATAATAGGGAAGGAGTGTGGCATCAATAAACAAGGGAAATTCGTCATTTACTAGCCTTATAATACCTACGATTACTACACGTAACTCATCCAACTTTAGCTCAAATCGGACAGTACATTCGCCTAGCATTGTGCGAAATCGTTTCCTCGTATACACCCGCAATCCGGAGATACAGACTAAAACGTACGACACGATTCTCCATTCTTTGGCCATCAATCCAAAGCCATTGGCGCGCCTCTAATTCAAACAAAAGGCAGCTACCTAACCACAGCTTGCTAACTCGGCGGGCAATGTGGCTCGCTGGCGGGAGATTTGAGCCCGATCAGCTGCTGCTGATTGCGGTTGGCGTGCGTGCATGAAGGCATGCCAGGTAGTGCAGAGGTGGCCTGTGTAGCTGTGTACCGGGTCAAAGGTTATTCGCCGAGTGTTGATGCCTAATCTCCCAGCGAGCCACATGCCTCGCCGAGTTAGCAATAGCGGTTAGGTAGCTGCCTTTGTTTGAATTAGAGGCGCGCAATGGCTTTGGATTGATGGCCAAAGAATGGAGAATCGTGTCGTACGTTTTAGTCTGTATCTCTGGATTGCGGGTGTATACGAGGAAACGATTTCGCACGATGCTAGGCGAATGTACTGTGTCCGATTTGAGCTCAAGTTGGATGAGTTACGCATAGTAAATCGTAGGTTTATTAAGGCTAGTAAATGACGAATTTCCTTGTTTATTGATGTCACACTCCTTCCCTATTATCCGCTCTTGATATATATATATATCATATATCATACATATACATAATTATTATTATATAGAGGTATAACGAAAGCACTGATATGACAGGATGTTTTGAGATGTGTCATACGTGAGAAGACTGTCACATCCCGAAAGAAAAAAATCTGAATAAACCCATGAGGCAAGGTTCTGCGAAACGTGCGGTGACACGACTCATATGTACTCACACAGGTAAAGTGCAAACCACATGAACTGTACGCGGAATGCTTCGTATGGCTCGTCTTCTGGCCTGTAACAATCGGGTCAACCATGAACAACAACGTGTTGGCGTGCAATGAAATCCATTTAATTTTGAAAAACATGCATTAACGAATCCATTACCTAAATCTTATTCAATAAATTGATATATTCAGTAGATTACATTATGTATTTCAAGCAGATTTAAAAAAAAGATTTGTAAAGATCATTAAATGTTGATTGCGATCGTGAATAACCATTCACCAGCACCCACTCTGAAGCCATGCTTACATGTTTACAAATGCAATATACGGTCAAACATGTGTTAGTCGACACCTCAGGAAGAATACCTGTCTATAAAGGATGCTTATGTTTGCCATGTGTGGCAGTCATGCAGTTAAGCCACCTCCATAGAGCAGACAGCGATTTATAAAGCACGCTCATGAGGTTTCCCATGATTGCTCCTTGCATGCAGGTTTGACTACACATACGATAGTACAGCTTCCACACACGCACCCATACCATGCTGGGTGACAGGCAAGACAGCATGAGAGTGGTCGAGTTAGGCCATAATAAAAATATTGTTTATTTGCCCTCACCTGACCGACCCGCCAAAAAGGGGCCAACTCAAAATTTTTTATTGATCTTTCCCATTCTTTTTTTTTACAAATTGTATCACTGTACATTATATATATATCTGTAGGCAATACATTATACCAAGCAAAACAAACATTCAACATAAAAGGTATTACCACACAAGCACACCCGAGCATGACCCGACGCCACGCAAGAATTGGTTACTGTCGGTGTATCATATCAAGACACCATGCTGAATTTGTAAAAAGACCCCCTCAAAAAAAATAAAGCCTACCTACCTACCCAAACTTTTCAGCCTGGGTCGGGTGAGGGCAAACAAAGATTTTTTTAATTGTGGCCTTACGGAAGGACGACGCGATGGGTTCACGCACATCGCAGAGGCAGGGGCCGATGCCAGCGACACCTACCAGGTAACGATCGTACCGATGAGCAGAGTGGAGATGTAGTGATGCGCCAGCCACCAGCCCTTAATGTGCGAGCCGTTGACACGCAACAAGCTCTCCCGAATGGTGAGCGTGGCGTAGTACCACACCATGAGGTAGTGCAAGCTAGCATCCACGAATCTGTGAGGCACAACGATGGGGCCGTGCGGCACAGTTAGATGCGGGAATAGCAACGTTTGACAGGTGAGGAAGACGTGAAGAGAGCATGCGTGGCATATACCTTCAAGTCGTGCTAGAAAAAGCAGTGATTTGGGTTAGTGTTGCCATCTGTTGAAATAAGGTTAGAATATGAGTGAAAATCCACCACGTTTTGCCATTAGAGCCACCATGCAATAACAGACAGTGACAAGCATGCATGCTGGCCTTCGCCAGGGGGGGCCTCGACGAGCCCCCGCCATCCTTAATTTACCACGTCACTATGATACCGCCCTGGACAGCCGTGATGTAATGGTGGGTGAGCCACCATCCCTTGATGTGAGAGCCATTTATCCTAAGAATACTCTCTCGGATCGTCACCATGCAGTAGTACCAGACCAGCAGGTAGTCGAGGAGTCTATCTATGACCCTGAATAAACCGGTCAGTGGAAATTGCCACGGAGTAGTACTAGTAGGGAACAACACGTTTCACATTTGAAGTGTCTAGGCGTGACCTGCTATCTCTCTTACAAATAAGAGAGATCTAAGGTTCTGGCACAATTCCAAAGATAATGTTGATTCAAATTGTCAGGACTGTCAAAACAGGTAAATTAAACAAATATACTTCTTTCAGAAGACACATATGCTCTTATAATAGGCAAAAGTTTGTCTGTAAATAATCACTGAATGCACATGTGAACTAAAGCCAGGAGCCATTTTGCCTGTTTCTGCAATTATTTAAACAGGGCAAACACTCTAGAATATACCCATAGCATATACACTTACATATTTCTGTTATCAGACATTCACTGCTGTTGGTAACCAACATTGAGTGGGAAATTAATAGATTTTTGGTGGTGCCCACACCCCATCTGACTGCACTGATCCCCTGATGCACTTCTGCTAATAAATTTTTGATCTTGCTGTTGTTATTTTGCCGTATATTTCAGACCGGGAGCTCATTACAAAAGTCCAATTACATTTATACCAAACTACTACATCATGAAATGACTTATTGTTTTTGATAAATAGCTGCATAGTTTAACTGAAGCAAATGGAGAAATACAAGACAGTGAAATCCTTCCTTCCGTAAATGAATAAATTAGGATCACCATCGATCTGTAGCCTGTAGCTACACAATGCATATGTAGTGGCACCACGAACAAATGTTAATCGACAGTTTTTAAACATTTAAAAATAATAATTCTAGCAAATACTGAACCCCAAAATCTTTTATGTAGCATAATGTATTTTAACTGCAAATATTACTTACCTAGAGTATTGTTTCTCTTTGACAAATTGCTGAAGTAATGGTTTATAATTATACTGTTTCACATGCATACCACAGCAAAGTACGGCACGGCAAATGACAGCCAGCATAAAAACTATTACCTTCATTATTGTAGCAAATGTACAGTTAAAGATTAAAAAACCAAATTAGAAATAACATGCAGATAACTTACCGGTAATCAAATATAAGTGCAACTATAGACAGACATAGGCTGAGGACAGTCAACACCAATTTGAAATGCTCGTACTGTTCCTTGTATTTGAACCTGTCAAAAAAGAGTGCTGAAACTATATTAACTTTATCAAATTTATCAAAATTTAACCATCCTATCCACACTGTCATCTGTTAGAAAATGTGTTGTATGAAATACAATTTAGAATGCTAAAAAAGCAAGGAAGAGAAATTATCTCATTTTTTCTTTATAAAAAATACTTGCTATGAGATACAGTCCTACCTATCAGCCTTGTTCAGTAGTGATGTATTTACATCTCCCAAAATGACGTTCAAATACATTCTGAAAAGAAAGATATTTTCATTACTACAAGCAAACATTACACACATACTCGCAAACACACACAAACATACATACACAACCACAAACACGCATGCAGACCCATAAACATGCATGCACATACACACATATAATATCATAGCCCAATGAATACAAGAAAATCAACATCACTAATAAGCTAGCACAACCGCCCACTCTACGAACAGTTGACATCATCTCGCATTAAAGTGATTACGTCACAGTAAGTTATAATTAAAAAAAAAAAAATCCACTTTTTCACAAAATATAAGTGATTCTGTTCACTTTTTATCGTTAAATTGCTGCATTATACTTCTTATTTTACTATATTGTTTGATGTGAACATACACTCGTGACTCATACATAGCCCATAGCAAGCAATTAATGTTATGAACACTAATATCAAATCGTCCAGGTTTTTTGAATTTTTAGCTAGTTGAGAATCTTATCAGGTAAGAATTTGACGATACGTTTAGTCCCGTTAGTTCTTACGTTTAATGTAAAAAAAATGGCAACAAAAATATTACAAATTTTACCATAGAAAATTCGTGACGTAGTCACTTTAATGCATCTCTGCCACACAATATTTCCCGACAATGAACATAAGACCAGTCAGCCCCTCATGGCAGAGCAGTGAGTAAAGGTGAGCAGTTTTCACCCACCCATTCTTCTTTGGAAGAGTCTCTTCGATGTTCTTAAGCTGCTGCTTTCTCTTAGTTATCAGTTGGTCCCGCTTCTCTTCTTCTGCTCCTGCCACTGGCGACGCCCTTCAAAATGCAACCATAAAAATGATACGAATGACTCATACTGCAAGGATTCAGATAATACCTAGAAGTACTTGTTGGTAAGATAACCGTACCCTTTCATCTTTGTCTGAAGGGTCTTCAATTGTTTCTGCTGTGCTGTGAGAAGGGACTGACATTGCCTTTGGAGCCCAGTCATCTCTTCATATTTCTTCATATAGTGTCCATGGGTATCCTACAATCAAGGCAAACAAATTATGTTGCAGAACACAGGTTTATGATTGTGCATAGCATGTTTTGTTTTCAGTAAGCACGCAAATGGTATACTAGGTATGTGAAACATCAATGCAGGACAATAGGTAATAATACAAAACCTCAACGCAGGACTAGGTCGTTAGTGTGCCCATTGGCTGGCTGTACATACTGTAATTAAGAGAGCTTCACATAGGTGTGTAGGTAGTATATATACTTGCCATGCAGGATGCTGGTGCTATCTATAGGCTACAATGAGCTATAAATCATTAAATAAGTTCATTCGGTTGGTAGAATAATATAAATAACAAAGTTAATTTTTACTCAACCGTGCAAGTTTGAAACGTACCGCTGATGTTTCGCCTCCTGTCAGGAAGCTTTCTCAAAGCAAACTGATGTTAATCAGTTTTGACCACCAGATGGTACGGTGGTCAATAGCTTAGTCCACGCGTGACTAAGCCTGTACCCCCCCTCGTCCCAGCTGATGTTTGGGGTCTTGCGGATCCAGGTGGCCTCCTTAATCCATCGCCTGATTTTGATAGGCTCGCGATCGATGATCTTCGAATTCTCCCAATCGATGGTGTGATTGTCCTTCGCTACACGCTCGATTAACATAATCAAGTCGAGACTGGAGGCAGACAAAACATTGAAGAAGCGAACCAACCTCACCACAGACGATATCATTGAATTGCTCATACAATTCATAATAAAACTTATACAACAAACGTATAGGAGAAAGTCCCACACGGACCAGTACTTAAACTTAAACTCACACCACACAGTCAACCACAAACTGTCAGTGGTACGAACGCTACTAGATCGTAGGGACAAAATCATAACAGAGAGTGAGGACCGGGAAGCTGAAGCGCGCCACATCAAGAACGCACTAGGAAAATGCGGCTATCCCAATTGGACACTCGAAAAAGTGTCCAAGGAGATGCACACATCACAGGAAAAAACAACATCCCAAAAGAAAACCTCCACAGAGAAACCGAAGACGATGATCGTCCTATACCCTATGTCAGAGGGGTCACGGACGTAGTTCAGAGTCACCTAAAAAATGCAGGTGTGGCTTCAACAGTGAGACCGTTTGAGACTCTAAAACGGTTTTTGGTACATCCTAAGGACAGAACAGATATGCACAACATTATGGACTGTGTCTACAAGATACCGTGTGCAATGTGTGGAAAAAGTTACATTGGAGAAACCGGCCAAAAATTTAAAACCCGCCTAAAAGAACACAAAAAGGACGTAAACACCGTAGCAGCCAAATCGTTCACAAGGGCCCAACGAAAACAGTCGGCTACCGAAATCACCAAATCCGCGATCACTGACCATGTAGCGAAGGACAATCACACCATCGATTGGGAGAATTCGAAGATCATCGATCGCGAGCCTATCAAAATCAGGCAATGGATTAAGGAGGCCATCTGGATCCGCAAGACCCCAAACATCAACCGGGACGAGGGGGGGTACAGGCTTAGTCACGTGTGGACTAAGCTATTGACCACCACACCATCTGGTGGTCATAACTGATTAACATCAGTTTGCTTTGAGAAAGCTTCCTGACAGGAGGCGAAACGTCAGCGGTACGTTTCAAACTTGCACGGTTAAGTAAAAATTAACTTTGTTATTTATATTATTCTACCAACCGAATGAACTTATTTAATGATTTATAGCTAATTGTAGCCTATAGATAGCACCAGCATCCTGCATGGCAAGTATATATACTACCTACACACCTATGTGAAGCTCTAGGTACGTTTCAAACTTGCACGGTTGAGTAAAAATTTACTTTGTTATTTATATAGCTATAAATCATTTAAACTTAAAACATCCCCAACATAAATCGATAATAAAAAACACGTAGACAAATAAAGTCTCACCTATTACTATTAGTGAACATATACTACTGATTACTCCAGTATAAAAGTTACCACAGGTTACTGCTGTTATGGTATGTTAGGAACTCCCACATTCACATGTACCTCAAATTCTCGATAGTCTTTGATGAGGTCATCCCAGTCTCCAATGATGTCAGCAATTTGTGCAGCTGCCATTACGATCTTTTCACTTAGCTTCAGATGTTGAAGATTCCCTGTACAAAAATGCATATTAGTGTTACAGATGGCCACATAGAGCTTACAGTAACACACATATTATTTGATGTTTGATGTTTTTTTCAAACTGGCTAGTCTGCTCGTTTCTGTTTGACTTTGCTCTGCTGGTATTCGATATCGCTTCTATGGTCTTGGATAGTATTTATGTGCTGCAAAGATCATTGAAAAATAGTCAATAAAGTTTTGAGCGACTGATAAAATTTGGAAATCTATTCGTTCGAGGTTAGGTCTGATAGTGAGAGTGCTCTGAATGTGATCCTTTTGTATACATTGTAATTGTTACTGTACTGTGTGTGTGATTTTTATAATCTGACGGTAATCTACTATAACCGATTAACCTCATAAATAATATAGTCTTCAAAGTCTAAAGGACTATATCGAAGACGGAAAGAGACAAAGTTGATCAATTAGACAGATCAACACTGCACTGCAGATCACAGTAGAAAACGCATCAGATTTGCAATTAACTAAAAAGGAAGGGAGAGAATTCCAGTACGGAATGACAGAAACAACGAAGCTAAACATACTACTAGTACTACAGTAAAACTCACATAAGTCGTCATCGTCTAACTCATCAATTCGTATAAGTCGTCATGGTAGTCAAAGTCCCGATTTTCTCTCATAGTAAATCCATTGGAATAGCCCCGCCCAAGTCGTCATTAATAAGCTGTCATTATGTGCAAGTCATTGCCCTCATGCAAACAGGTCCCATGTAACACAAACAACACTAATTTCCCGTCTGTTAGTCGTCATCAGAAATGCCGACGGTCTAGGGAATGTGCGAGCTGGCTGTCGCAGATATGCGCTTAGGTCAACCCCCCCCCCCAGATTCCTCAGTGTGTGCAGTCCAATGCAGGGTGTGAAATTAACGCGAGTCCGTAGTCAAATACTCCCTGATTTACTATCGAACTCCCTGATTCGACATATTACGCAGGAGTCCGTGTGACTCCTTGAAAATTCTGCTATATACTATATAACTACATGTAGTTCGTTCCAGAGCACGGCTTCGCAGAATTACCGTATTTTTTCAGCAATTGTTCCAAGAAAAATTGGCAGACGTGCACCGCAAATGTCCAGCAATGTCCAAACGTGTAATTAACAGCGGGTGTCAGATAGCCAGCGTGTGCCGCTAGTATATAGTGCGTACGATGTGCGTGCGTTATGGCCAGCAGCAGTGTCGATTGATGTACGAACCCGATTCTTTCACGTCTGCTATGTATGTGGCGCGAACTGACGTCGTATGTGGAGCATATATATGTTTATGACTGTCTGGGGGTGACGAGCGCCTGGGAGGGGAGCCATACATATAAGTCGACAAAATGACGACGTGTACTTACGCGTATGTCGTCATGATTTTCGTAACGTAAGTCGGCACAAATATGTTGGTCCCAAAAGGGTCGACTTATGCGAGTTTTACTGTACTACTACTACTAGACTAGTACAGAGTCAGATATATTACAAATTTCCACTTAAGGATAGAGTTAGAGAGCATGTCCAGTACAGTAATAAACATCATCCTATCCAATCACTGAATCACCGTCCTGGACATCATCTCTATCCTTGAACCCAAAGGCATAATTTATTGGTCTAGCCATAGGCATAAGCATAGATTAGATATATATACAACTAATAGTAGTATATATATATATCAGGAGTGTATAATAGGGAGGAGTGTGACATCAATAAACAAGGGAAATTCGTCATTTACTAGCCTTATAATACCTACGATTTACTATGCGTAACTCATCCAACTTGAGCTCAAATCGTACACAGTACATTCGCCTACCATCGTGCGAAATCCTTTCCTCGTAGACACCCGCAATCCGAAGATACAGCCTAAAACCTACGACACGATTCTCCATTCTTTGGCCAATAATCCACCGCATAGCGCGCCTATAATTCAAACAAAAGGCAGCTACTAACCACACTGTCCACGGCTTGCGCTCACGGCGAGGGGCTGTGGCTCGCAGGGTGATTAGGCATCAACGCAACACTCGGCGAGATAACCTTTGACCCGGTACACAGCTACAATGTATGCCTTATGTCATACCGGCATGCCGGCAATACAGCTGGCATGCCCCCATACCACGCACGCACGCCAATCCGCTATCAGCAGCAGATCGGATTGAAATCTCCCTGCGAGCCACAGCGCCTCGCCGTGAGCGCAAGCCGTGGACAGTGTGGTTAGTAGCTGCCTTTTGTTTGAATTATAGGCGCGCTATGCGGTGGATTATTGGCCAAAGAAAAGGAGAATCGTGTCGTAGGGTTTATGCTGTATCTTCGGATTGCGGGTGTCTT